ATCGTTCTGGGTTCCACTGCACAACAGCAGGTCGGTGGAGTTTTATGAACATCAGCTGAAGCTGGAGACTCTTTATCTCCCTCACTAACTTTAAGCATCAGTTGTCAGAGCACCTTACCGATCACTGCACCTGTACACAGCCCTTCTGAAATTAGCCCACTCAACTCATTTGCACCCCAGTATCACTATTTGCACATCATCTCTTGCACATCTATCATTCCAGTGTTAATACTAATTGTAATTATTTTGCACTATGGCCTATTTATTGCCTTACCTCCATAACTTGCTACATTTGCACACAATGTATATATATTTTCTGTGGTATTTTTTACTTTATGTTTTGTTTTACCCCATATGTAACTCTGTGTTGTTGTTTTTATCGCACTGCTTTGCTTTATCTTGGCCAGGTCGCAGTTGTAAATGAGAACTTGTTCTCAACTGGCTTACCTGGTTAAATAAAGGTTAAATAAAAATAAAAAATAAAATAAAAAGGCAGACATGGTGAATATATATTTTTTTTCAAGGTTCTGAAGGTGTCAAGCCTCCAATGGGCCTCTGCAGCGCACAAATGTAACCTTCAGTTCTTCATCATTCGCCAGAGAGAAGACAGGGAAGAAACCACCATTTCCCTACCTCTGGGCAGCTGTAGCCTACATATTTATTTGGTTTCCATGAATTTGTTTTGGTGATTCAATATATTTTATTTAGAATTGATCAGAATACATTTTCAGTTTATTCTCAAATTGAAAAAAGTGAGGTCCCTCAGGGTCCCCCAGCACTACACACCTGCTGACTTGTGAAGAAGGCAACTGCACTGTGCTATTTCATCAATATTTTTATTTATTTCCACCCTGGTGAAAAAATTGCAGCACCCCCACACCCAAACTACTTCCCACGGCTATGTGTGTGTCGGGACTAGTGCAGCCCTCTACACTCAATGTATATCCCTGTGCTGATCATTGGAAAGACAGTAAAATAGGTTATATGTTGTCCTTGTGCTTAGTGGATAACTGAATCTCTCTCTCTCTCTCTCTCTCGGAAAAGGAAAGTTGGCATGTGCACAGTGCACTGTTTGGATTCTGGCTTTTCCTAAAGTAAATTGAGGTTTGCCAAAATTGTATAATTATTCCTGTCTAAATAAAAACATTCCAAATATTTTACCAGAGGGCATGTGACTTAGCCACAGAGGACAAAAAAATTGCCGTGGATTGTTTAAAATCACAAGCATGTTGGACTATGCCTATTTGAGAAGCCCGCAATTTGGGCAGCGTTTGTGGCAGTATGTCTAGCTGATTGAGTTGCAGCTGTCAGTACAAATAATCTAAAATATGTGTGAAGATAATATGTCTTGAGTCTAATATAAAATGTTGCAACAAGAAGAAAGGGATGGGTGTGTGGTGAAGATATGGGTGTCTCTCTCCAGAATGCATGCACTCAGCCCTCCAGAATGTACTTACAGTGAGGGAAAAAAGTATTTGATCCCCTGCTGATTTTGTACGTTTGCCCACTGACAAAGAAATGGTCAGTCTATAATTTTAATGGTAGGTTTATTTGAACAGTGAGAGACAGAATAACAACAAAAAAATCCAGAAAAACGCATGTCAAAAATGTTAGAAATGTATTTGCATTTTAATGAGGGAAATAAGTATTTGACCCCCTCTCAATCAGAAAGGTTTCTGGCTCCCAGGTGTCTTTTATACAGGTAACGAGCTGAGATTAGGAGCACACTCTTAAAGGGAGTGCTCCTAATCTCAGTTTGTTACCTGTATAAAAGACACCTGTCCACAGAAGCAATCAATCAATCAGATTCCAAACTCTCCACCATGGCCAAGACCAAAGAGCTCTCCAAGGATGTCAGGGACAAGATTGTAGACCTAAATAAGGCTGGAATGGGCTACAAGACCATCGCCAAGCAGCTTGGTGAGAAGGTGACAACAGTTGGTGTGATTATTCGCAAATGGGAAGAAACACAAAATAACTGTCAATCTCCCTCGGCCTGGGGCTCCATGCAAGATCTCACCTCGTGGAGTTGCAATGATCATGAGAACGGTGAGGAATCAGCCCAGAACTACACGGGAGGATCTTGTCAATGATCTCAAGGCAGCTGGGACCATAGTCACCAAGAAAACAATTGGTAACACACTACGCCGTGAAGGACTGAAATCCTGCAGCGCCCGCAAGGTCCCCCTGCTCAAGAAAGCACATATACAGGGCCGTCTGAAGTTTGCCAATGAACATCTGAATGATTCAGAGGAGAACTGGGTGAAAGTGTTGTAGTCAGATGAGACCAAAATCGAGCTCTTTGGCGTCAACTCAACTCGCCGTGTTTGGAGAAGGAGGAATGCTGCCTAGGACCCCAAGAACACCACCCCCACCGTCAAACATGGAGGTGGAAACATTATGCTTTGGGGGTGTTTTTCTGCTAAGGGGACAGGACAACTTCACCGCATCAAAGGGACGATGGACGGGGCCATGTACCGTCAAATCTTGGGTGAGAACCTCCTTCCCTCAGCCAGGGCATTGAAAATGGTTTGTGGATGGGTATTCCAGCATGACAATGACCCAAAACACACAGCCAAGGCAACAAAGGAGTGGAGAAGATCTGCAAAGAGGAGTGGAACAAAATCCCTCCTGAGATGTGTGGAAACCTGGTGGCCAACTACAAGAAACATCTGACCTCTGTGATTGCCAACAAGGGTTTTGCCACCAAGTACTAAGTCATGTTTTGTAGAGGAGGTCAAATATTTATTTCACTCATTAAAATGCAAATCAATTCATAAAATTTTTGACATGTGTATTTCTGGATTTTTGTTTTTGTTATTCTGTCTCTCACTGTTCAAATAAACCTACCATTAAAATTATAGACTGATCATGTCTTTGTCAGTGGGCAACCGTACAAAATCAGCAGGGGATCAAATACTTTTTCCTTCACTGTAGCTGTCTCCCACCAAATCTTGTGCATTCATTGTTTCATTCTGTGAATTGTTTGCCCTTTGATTATTTATGTTTTATCAATTCCCGATTACATATGTCACCAGTAGGCCTAGTAAATGTAACTTTAATCCCACGTCATTTGGTTACATTAATGTCTGTTAATGCATGTATTAATAACAGTCATTACCATTCTCATTCTCAGAGTGGAAACGTTGTTTGCAGAGTTCACAATCTGCTACACTTGTGAGAAACAAGTTTTGGTTTATTTCATAATCATTATGAGTTTTTAAACATGTTTCATTGTCTTTTGTTTGGAGCGCTCTATGTGGGCAATGAGCATGTGTCTGGTTTCTCTGTCCTGATAATGTTGAAGGAGCGTTCCTGAGCATGCATAGAAGTAGCCTACCTGGCCTGCTAAAGGGAAATGTAGGAAAGTACCCATTTGGCAATGTCTGATTTCTGATTGTCTTAACTAACCACGTCCACTACTATAAAGCTGAGCTTCTCAGTCATTTTTTCTTCACCTCACACAGTAAGAGCCTATTTATGCTTGATCTGAAAATGTGGTCGGAGGCGACGTATGGCTGGTGTGACGCAATTGCGGAGCGTCTTTTTTTTTTTTTTTTTTTTTTTGGTGGCACGCAGAGGCCAAATTGAGCTCCATACCGCATTGTAATGCGGCTCTCAAATTTTGCAACAATGTGGAGGGCTCCATATAGCTCTGCATTGACATGATCGGTTGACGGTAGGTGAGGGTGGGAGGTCCTGTATAAACACAAACTCACTTCCTTGACAACTTCCTTCACAACAGCTCTGCGCTGCTCAGTGAAGCGCAAGAAGTATGAATGCCCTGACTTCTGCAGAGGCCACATCACCATAAATGCTGCACGGTCAATATGTGAAAGAGCAAAATATCATGATCAAATGATCCCATATATCCATTGGAAACATCATAAAAAACAGCTGCTGTCCTGAGCTCACTGGCGCTGGAATAGGGCCCTGGAATAGGATAGCTGATTTGATCCAATCTTGCAAGTTCGCTAGCAACAGTTTAGGACTGGACCCAGTTGATGATTTGATACAATGTTGCACTAGCAATAGCTCAAGTCAAGACAGATAGAAAGGGAGGCAGAGACAGGCAGAGTAGAGAGATGAAAGAACCAGATTTTTCATCAGGATATTTGTCAGTTTTTTTTGTCAGCTTTAGGCCCAAAAATATAAACGCAACATGCAACAATTTCAAAAGATTTTACTGAGTGACAGTTCATATAAGGAAATCAGTCAATTGAAATAAATTAATTAGGCCCTAATCTATGGATTCCACATGACTGGGCAGGGATGCAGCCATGGGTGGTGGGCCTTGGAGGGTATTCACCCCCCTTGGCATTTTTCCTATTTTGTTGCCTTACAACCTGGAATTAAAATGGATTTTGGGGGGGTTTGTATCATTTGATTTACACATCATGCCTACCACTTTGAAGATGCAAAATATGTTTTATTGTGAAACAAACAAGAAATGAGACCAAAAAAATAGAAAACTTGAGCGTGCATAACTATTCACCCCCCCAAAAAATCTATTTAAGTTACAGGTTGTAATGCAACAAAATAGGAAAAACACCAAGGGGATGAATACTTTTCCAAGGCACTGTATCTTCATGTCCACATCATGTATTTCGTATACATTTTGGTTTTCATTGAGTTCATCTTGTTATTTCCTTTTTTATTTAGACAATAAAAACCAAAACAGAACAAACACTGAACAATAAACAAATGCTTTAATATTCAATCATTAACTGTATTAATGTTTAAAATGTCAACATAAAGCATGACACAGTGTGCCTGCGCAGTTTGATTCCTAAAAATATACAAATATAAAAATACAGAGTGACTCTTTGGTCAAAAAGGAAGTCTACCATGTTGCTCTTACATTGTGGAATGAAGAACGTGGTTCTCTCTAACTTCTCCAATCCCTCCATGAAAGAGTAATGTCATCTCATCTCTAACCTTGTTGTCAGGCTAATTGGGTGAAATGGTGAACAAAATTTAATCTGCCCAAATGTTCCTCAGATCTCCATCAGCTCTCCCTGTCTTCTTTCTCTCTCTTCTTCTACCTCTCCCTGTATCTGGGAGCTGCTCTGCAGGCCAGTTAAATAGACCTCATCTAAACATTTTCCACTGAGATCTTTCAGTCTTTGTACCAGTCTCTCTATCTCTCCATTTTTCTCCTTCATTTGTCTATCCTTCTCCTTCATCTGTCTGCTGAACTCCCTCTGCATCTTTGTCTGTGAGATCATGATGTTCCTCTGTAACTCAGGTAGGACTATCTTCATCAGGTTTCTCTCTGCTTCAACTCTGACCTCCCCTTCATAGTTCTCCATCAACTCCTGTCTGTGTCTCTCCTCCATCTCCATCCTCTCTTTTCTCTCTAAATCTTTCCAGCTTTCTCTCCATCTCCTCCCTCCTATCAGACTCTCTCTTCAGCTCTCTCTCCAGCTCCCTTTGCTTCTCCTCATCCCCCTCTTCTTTCATCTGTCTCTCCAGGTCAGTTATTCGTTCTCTGAGTATCCTGATATCTCTTGGAAAATGCTGTTCAAAAGAAGACATTGTATTATCATATCTATGTACCTGACAAAGGCCATGCAGTCGAACTGCATCAGTTTTTAATCTTGGTTTCCATTGAATATGCCATACAAATAAAGGCATTTCAATTAATTATATGAAAAGTACCTTGGTGCTCCTTTCTTTTTGATATTGATATCTCTCTTGAGCTTCTGGATTACTCCATCTTTCTTATTCAGAGAGTCCTGCAACTCCTTCTCAAGCCTCTCTCACCTCTGTCTGTTTCCTCTCCTCTCTCTCCCTCTGGATCTTTCCCTCCATCTCTCTGACCTGGTCCTCTGCCTCCTGGTAAGTCTGACTGCTGTAGAATCTCTCTCTGTTTCCTGCCACCATCTCCTCTACCTGCTCCAGCAGCTCTGGGACCTGAGTGCCATGGGCCCTGTCCTTAATGTTGAGGACGTGGTACCTGCTCCCACATTTCTCTACAAGCTGCTGGAGGTCCTGACTCCCTGCTTGGAGAAACTCCTCAATGCTCTGCTCTTTCAGGCCATCAGCATGGGTGAATAGAATCACAGTGTGTTCCCAACAACCCTCCCCAAACATCTCCTCTATTCTCTCCAGCACCCCTCTCTCCTCCCCATTAGAGGGCTCCACTGGTATGACCAGGAGGAAGGCGTGCGGTCCCGGGGCAGACAGATGGACACAGAGCCCCACATCATGTCTCATCTCCTCCAGAGAGAGTCCAGGACAGAACCAGTCTGGAGTGTCCACCAGCACCAACCGTCTCCCAGACACATCCCCCTCTCTCCTCTTACTCCTGTGGGTCACTGCAGAGGGGCAAGCCTGGGCCCCAAACTCCTCTCTGTCCAGGATGGTGTTTCCTGCTGCACTGCTCTGAGTCCCAGTCGTCCTCTCGACTGCTGCTCTCTCCTCCCAGTGCATCACAGCACACAGCACTGTTCAACACACTGACTCTCTGGAGGATGTATAACACAGTGTAAAATATAATGTAAGCTACATCCATAACTCTCTAAGTGGAGGAATTAACTCCATGCTGTTTCTCCTCCTCAGTGGAAGTGTGTGGTCTGTACCTGAGGTCTCTCCTCCCACTGTAACACAACATAGAGAACTGGTCAACATACTGACTCATCAGAGACACATAGTATATCAACTCCAAATACATTGCACATCATAGTGAAATATAGATTATTGGAGAAAATAGGAAATATCAAGATTGATGACAGCTTGAAACAACATTGATAATTCACTGAGTGAAGGATGGTCCACTATAGACTAGAAACAGTAGGAGAAAGCAGGACAATATTGATAACTCACTGAGTGGAGGATCTTCTATGCTGTGTCTCCTCCTGACTGGAGGTATGGAACCTGTATCTGAGGTGTCTCCATGTTCTAAAACAACAAATAACATCCATTTATAATGGGAACATTTACCTCAGTAACACATGAAGGCACATATACCTACTTAAGGGTAGTTCTAGGTTTCTATTGAAATGTTAATGTCAAGTACCATATTTCTCACTCACCAGTCATCGGTGCTGGGGTCTCTCTTCTCAGTCTCTCTACCTCAGTCTTCACATCACATATCTGTTGAGCTGAAATAACAAAGGAGGACTAACATCTGAATTCTGTGTTAAAGACTTTAGACAGAAATATGATGCAGAGGGAAAGTATGAAGTGATGTAAAACAATATTCCCAACTCAGAGGAGAGTCTACAATAACCTGATAATTGAGGAAAGTACAGTAGACTAAACGTATTAATGGTTGTAATAATCTTACCCAGTTCAGCATTTTCGTTGTTGACATCCTCCACTTGTGTCTTTCCTTTAACTGCTTCTTTCTCTTCTAGTTCCTGTCTCCTCTCTTTTAGTTCATTTTCACTCTCTTCTAGTAGTTTGTCCTTCTCTCCCAGTCTGTGGTTCCTGTCCTCTAGTTGGAGGTCTTTTTCCTGCAGTAGGACTCTGAAGTTCTCTACTTGGCTGTTCTTGTCCTGCAGGTTCTTTCTCAGTGCCTCTAGTTGAAGGTCTTTTTCCTGCAGTAGGACTCTGAAGTTCTCTACTTGGCTGTTCTTGTCCTGCAGGTTCTTTCTCAGTGCCTCTAGTTGAATGTCTCTATCCTTTAGTTGCTTCTCTTTCAGTTGGTTTTCTTTCTCTTCTAATAGTTTATCTGGTTCTTCTCCTCCAGTAGTCTCTCTTTCTCTTTCACTTCCTGGGTCATATCATCCAGTTGTGTGTCTTTCTCCTCTAGTTGTTTCATCATCTCATCTCTTAATATCTCTTTTAATTCTTTTTCCATCTTCAACTCTGAGAGAGAGCACTTAATATATTTGATTGGTGTTTGTACGCGTGTACACATGCATATACACACACTCTCATTCAAACGCACACATGTGCACATACACGGACACACACACACGTAAATAGTGCCAAACATGCACTCAAACGTACTCAGTTGGCCTTGCTGTTATGATTGTTGTTGTCCTTGATGTCTTTTGTTTGTTTGCATTGTTGTTTTCTGTTTATCTTTGTCTTTCTCTTTATTCTCTTTTGTTGGCATTGGGGGCTTGGGGGGGGATGGAATTATTTTATTAGTAATTATTTTTTTGATTGGTGTTTGATTAATTAATTCAATCATTCATTCATTCAATAGTATGCCTATAAATACACATGATCATTTGATGGAGGTGATATAATTATTTTTTTCTACAGTCAGCAATTATGAGTTGAACCAATCATCAACTGATCTATTGACTATTTGATACATTATCAAATTGATTAGTCTGAAAAACTGAATGACATCACTCATGTTTCCTGAACCAATCCTCTCTCCTCCAGACTCTCTCATACTTACCAAGCTCAACAGCTGATGCCTCCCTCTTCAACTTGTCCTCCTGGGTCTCATGTTTTAAATAGTCTGAACCTGAGTCTATTGTGTAAAACAGAGGTGTGTTCTGTGTGGTAGATTACATCACTATATACAGAACAAACAGGACCAATCAGATTTCTCCTGTCACTAAATCCTCCATCATGTAAGGACTGTGGGAACCAATGAGATCTGGTTGACTTCATTAATAATGTTTATTTGTATTTTATTGGCCTATTTCTGTTCCAATTAATTATTTATATTTTTTTGTGATAACAAGCATTGGGCTATATGGCAGATACTGTATATTGTGTCAAAATTCATTACTAATGTAAATCTATAGAAAGGGATGTAAGCAGCGCTACTATGTGAGCATTCTTAGAATGACTGAATGCTTCATACTATGACATCAAGCTGAATTCAAGCTGTTCCATTTTAATTTTGGAGTGTGAACTGTTGAGCTCTGTGGCAGACATTTTGTGGGAGGGCTATGTGAAATGTTGAGCTCTATGGCAGATACAGTGCATTCGGAAAGTATTCAGACCCTTTGACTTTTTCCACATTTTGTTACGTTACAGCTTTATTCTAAATTGGATTATATATATACAGTGAGGGAAAAAAGTATTTGATCCCCTGCTGATTTTGTACATTTGCCCACTGACAAAGAAATGATCAGTCTATAATTTTAATGGTAGGTTTATTTGAACAGTGAGAGACAGAATAACAACAAAAGAATGGAGAAAAAACGCATGTCAAAAATGTTATAAATTGATTTGCATTTTAATGAGGGAAATAAGTATTTGACCCCCTCTCAATCAGAAAGATTTCTGGCTCCCAGGTGTCTTTTATACAGGTAACGAGCTGAGATTAGGAGCACACTCTTAAAGGGAGTGCTCCTAATCTCAGTTTGTTACCTTTATAAAAGACACCTGTCCACAGAAGCAATCAATCAATCAGATTCCAAACTCTCCACCATGGCCAAGACCAAAGAGCTCTCCAAGGATGTCAGGGACAAGATTGTAGACCTAAATAAGGCTGGAATGGGCTACAAGACCATCGCCAAGCAGCTTGGTGAGAAGGTGACAACAGTTGGTGTGATTATTCGCAAATGGAAGAAACACAAAATAACTGTCAATCTCCCTCGGCCTGGGGCTCCATGCAAGATCTCACCTCGTGGAGTTGCAATGATCATGAGAACGGTGAGGAATCAGCCCAGAACTACACGGGAGGATCTTGTCAATGATCTCAAGGCAGCTGGGACCATAGTCACCAAGAAAACAATTGGTAACACACTACGCCGTGAAGGACTGAAATCCTGCAGCGCCCGCAAGGTCCCCCTGCTCAAGAAAGCACATATACAGGGCCGTCTGAAGTTTGCCAATGAACATCTGAATGATTCAGAGGAGAACTGGGTGAAAGTGTTGTAGTCAGATGAGACCAAAATCGAGCTCTTTGGCGTCAACTCAACTCGCCGTGTTTGGAGAAGGAGGAATGCTGCCTAGGACCCCAAGAACACCACCCCCACCGTCAAACATGGAGGTGGAAACATTATGCTTTGGGGGTGTTTTTCTGCTAAGGGGACAGGACAACTTCACCGCATCAAAGGGACGATGGACGGGGCCATGTACCGTCAAATCTTGGGTGAGAACCTCCTTCCCTCAGCCAGGGCATTGAAAATGGGTTGTGGATGGGTATTCCAGCATGACAATGACCCAAAACACATGGCCAAGGCAACAAAGGAGTGGCTCAAGAAGAAGCACATTAAGGTCCTGGAGTGGCCTAGTCAGTGTCCAGACCATAATCCCATAGAAAATCTGTGGAGGGAGCTGAAGGTTTGAGTTGCCAAACGTCAGCCTCGAAACCTTCATGACTTGGAGAAGATCTGCAAAGAGGAGTGGAACAAAATCCCTCCTGAGATGTGTGCAAACCTGGTGGCCAACTACAAGAAACATCTGACCTCTGTGATTGCCAACAAGGGTTTTACCACCAAGTACTAAGTCATGTTTTGCAGAGGGGTCAAATACTTATTTCCCTCATTAAAATGCAAATCAATTTATAACATTTTTGACATGCGTTTTTCTGTTGTTATTCTGTCTCTCACTGTTCAAATAAACCTACCATTAAAATTATAGACTGATCATGTCTTTGTCAGTGGGCAAACGTACAAAATCAGCAGGGGATCAAATACTTTTTTCCCTCACTATATATATATATATATACACTTTTTTTCTCATCAATCGACACACAGTAGGCCATAATTACAATGCGAAAACAGGTTTTTAGAAAACTTAGCAAATTTATTAAAAATAAAAAACAGAAATACCTTATTTATACAAGTGTTCAGACCCTTTGCTATGAGACTCGAAATTGAGCTCAGGGCATCCTTTTTCCATTGATCATCCTTGAGATGTTTCAACAACTTGATTGGAGTCCACCTGTGGTAAATTCAATTGATTGGACATGATTTGTAAAGGCACACACCTGTCTATATAAGGTCCCACAGTTGACAGTGCATGTCAGAGCAAAAACCAAGCCATGAGGTCGAAGGAATTGTCCGTAGAGCGCCGAGACAGGATTGTGTCGAGGCACAGATTTGTGGAAGCGTACCAAAACATTTCTGCAGCATTAAAGGTCTCCAAGAACACAGTGGCCTCAATCTTTCTTAAATGGAAGAAGTTTGGAACTATCAAGACTCTTTCTAGAGCTGGCCGCCCGACCAAACTGAGCAATCGGGGGAAAAGGGCCTTGGTCAGGGAGGTGACCAAGAACTCGATGGTCACTCTGACAGAGCTCCAGAGTTTCTCTGTGGAGATGGGAGAACCTACCAGAAGGACAACAATCTCTGCAGCACTCCACCAATCAGGCCTTTATGATAGTGGCCAGATGGAAGCAACTCCTCAGTAAAATGCACAACAGCCCACTTGGAGTTTGCCAAAAGGCACCTAAAGGACTCTCAGACCATGAGAAACAAGATTCTTTGGTCTGATGAAACCAAGATTCAACTCTTTGGCCTGAATGCCAAGCGTCATGTCTGGAGGAAACCTGGCACCATCCCTACGGTGAAGCATGGTGGTGGCAGCATCATGCTGTGGGGATGTTTTTCAGCGGCAGGGACTGGGAGACTAGTCAGGATTGAGGGAAAGATGAACAGAGCAAAGTACAGAGAAATCCTTGATGAAAACCTGCTCCAGAGCGCTCAGGAACTCAGACTGGGGCGAAGGTTCACCTTCCAACAGGACAACGACCCTAAGCACACAGCCAAGACAACGAAGGAGTGGCTTTGGGACAAGTCTCTGAATGTCACTGAGTAGCCCAGCCAGAGCCCGGACTTGAACCCGATCGAACATCTCTGGAAAGACCTGAAAATAGTTGTGCAGTGATGCTCCCCATCCAACCTGACAGAGCTTGAGAGGATCTGCAGAGAAGAATGGGAGAAACTCCCCATATACAGGTGTGCCAAGCGTGTTGCATCATACCCAAGAAGACTCAAGACTGTAATCACTGCCAAAGGTGCGTCAACAAAGTACTGAGTAAAGTAAAACATTCTAAAAACCTGTTTTTGCTTTGTCATTATGGGGTATTGTGTGTAGATTGATAAGGGGGGAAAAAACGACTTAATACATTTTAGAATAAGGCTGTAATGTGGAAAAAGTCAAGGGGTCGGAATACTTTCTGAATGCACTGTATACTGTATTATGGGATGGCTATAGTAAGGAAATTGAAGAACATCTATACATCATAATCAAACCTACCTTGAGAATTTTGGCAGAGTACTGATAAATGTAAAGAAATACATTTGTGGTCCTCGTGCTACTAGACCTCGTGCTACTAGACCTTAGTGCTGCCTTTGACACCATCGATCACCACATTCTTTTGGAGAGACTGGAAACCCAAATTGGTCTACACGGACAAGTTCTGGCCTGGTTTAGATCTTACCTGTCGGAAAGATACCAGTTTGTCTCTGTGAATGGTCTGTCCTCCGACAAATCAACTGTACATTTCGGTGTTCCTCAAGGTTCCGTTTTAGGACCACTATTGTTTTCACTATATATTTTACCTCTTGGGGATGTTATTCGAAAACATAATGTTAACTTTCACTGCTATGCGGATGACACACAGCTGTACATTTCAATGAAACATGGTGAAGCCCCAAAATTGCCCTCGCTAGAAGCCTGTGTTTCAGACATAAGGAAGTGGATGGCTGAAAACTTTCTACTTTTAAACTCGGACAAAACAGAGATGCTTGTTCTAGGTCCCAAGAAACAAAGAGATCTTCTGTTAAATCTGACAATTCATCTTGATGGTTGTAAAGTCGTCTCAAATAAAACTGTGAAGGACCTCGGC